TCTCGGCTCCCGACGTTATTGTGTCGTGTGGATCGAGGGGAAACCGTTGATGTCCAATCTCTTTGCGCTACCGCTTTCTACCATAGCAGACGAGCCAAAGTACATTAGAGCCAAGTTACAATAGTGTTACTCGTTCTTGTTTGCTACTCGTGTCCAATGGTGACTTGCAGGATAAGGCTATAAGAGTCGAACCCCGTCCTTCTTCTTCTTGGGGCCCGACTTCCAATCCCCGTCAAGTCAATGACACCAGATCGAAAGATCGTGAGCCGTGGTGTTGCTATGGATAAGCTTTGGCTTAAACCATCTATCCTAAAGCCATACTGGCTTGGCCATGACTTAAGCTTGTGCTTAGCAAATCACCACCTGTGATTCTTTGGCCCGAGGAAATTGGACAACCACCGAGAGGGCTAAGCCATGTATCTCTTATTGCCTCACTGTTGTTATTAGATTTTTCCTGCGTATTGACGTCTTTTCGAGTGTGGAGTGCTCTCTTGCCTTGCGTGTCGCTTCGCGGAGTAGCTGATGATCGGACCAAGAGAACATGGACGACGACAAGGACTGTGGAATGGAGTCAACGCAGGAGGAGGTGACCCCGCTAATGGAACACCAACGAATGGAGAATTGTACCACTACTACCTCTACATCGCAGGTGTCATGGCAGCACCCTCTTTTAGAGAATCCTATTAGACATTGCATAATATCTAGAACTGCTAGCGCTTTATAATTATTCCTTTGCTTGTACTTTGATGCATGCTACTACCTGAGCCATTATTACCCTGATGCAACCCACTCTACCACGTCACCCTGCTTTGCGCATTCGCTCGCTTAAATATGCTTACTTGCCCGCTTGCTTGCATATTACACCACTATACTTAATATTAACTCCACTTCGCATTATATCAGGGATGTGATGCTGGTGGTGAACCCCCTAGGAATGGTTTGGCCATGGGTGCCGGACTTGGTGGTGTGTGAGCATGCTGCGTGTGTCTTGGGTGTGTGGAGAGTGAGGGTTGTGTCAACCGAGCTGGAATAACGACGAGCCTGGGGCGAGTCTTGCCATATGGTGCTACCTGGGCACTTGGATATGGAATACCTGTGGCGGGTAAATGGTAATTGGAGGTGGCCTTGGGTGTGAACCTCAGAGAGGTGGAGCCCAGGGTAGAGGTGTTGTGGTGGCACGTAAAATGGAAACCCTGATGAAGACATTCTGGCTTGGTCATCCCTAAGGACTTACTAGTACTCAGATTCACCGGGAATCCTTTACATCCCACTCGCCCTATATGGTGCGGGACGGTTGGACTACTTGGTAGAGCGATGCCACTACTGCTAGGCGAACGTGTGCAAGGAGGTACGGGGTGCGCGGTTTCCCCCACACCCTTCCGAGACTTTAGGAGGCCTTGTGGACCCAGCTCTTGACATCCAGAGGGCCCCGGCTCTATCTACGACTCACAGTATCAGCCATCCCAGACTAGACTTGGGATGTTCCAGGGCTGAGAGGTAGGGTGGCATCGTTCTAGGCTAGCAAGCGACCAGAATTTTGCCTAGGAGATTCCAGACTCCAAGGATGGCTAATCTTGTGGGTATGTAAAACCTCTGTAGAGTGTATGGTTGATCGATCGATACATATGCCGACTTGTCGGCTATGGACCTTTTCTGGGTTTCGCTTAAACTAGATAGGAGATGAGTCCTTCTTTTCGCCCTCCAGGGTTGGGGTATTTTCCGGTCGTGAGCCTTGGGGCTACGGGCCGTTGAGACAAGGCCGAGAGGGAGTCGGCCTGTCGACCTGCGTGTGTGAGATGAGATAAGGTGTGATGGTGTGGAGATGGTTTGGGATGGATGGTTGGTGGATGGATATGGATGGTGTGGTGGTGAATGTATTAAAAATTGGATATTATTATGATAATACAATTGTTATTTACTTCTCATGCGCTAAGAATGCAAACCACAGCCAAATATTAGGATCGCCAGATCCCCTGTTTATCTTTTCCACTAAAGCTCATCGGTGCTGACCATGGCCTGCACACATCTGGCGGTGTGCAGATTTCCTGCTTCTCAGAGATGCTGACTTTAGAAGGATTAGGAGGTCCCGTGCCTACTCTCAAGTTTGGTTCGAAGATGGAATCTACGCTGCACTACGCCAACTCTGATGATGCCCGTGAAGGAGGAGCCTTCACTCGACAGTCTTCCGCTAGATTAACTCTGTAATAGGTGTGTTCCCTAGTGATGTAATATCTTGTATTTTTGTAATCTTACGATGTATGACTGTGACATCGACTGAAATATGATAATATGATGGAATCAGTTCTTGGTTTCATCATATTATAATTCATTCTGTGGAATTTTCCCTTCGCGGAAAATTGAGGATGTTTTAATGGGCTGGTCTCCCAATACAAATTTCCAGAAACACTCAGGCCCTTTTTAATGTTGCTGTGGATGCAATAGTTGGTAATGGGGAGAAAATCTTGTTCTGGACAGATCGCTGGCTGGATGGTCATACTTTGGATGAAATTGCTCCCAATCTGTTCAACACTGTCCCTAAAAGATTGACAAAAAGAAGGACTGTTGCTCAAGCGCTCCAAAATAATCGCTGGGTGGGTGACATCAAGGGAGCGCGTACAGTTCAAGTCATGTATGAGTACCTTCGGATCTGGGATATTGTGGAGAATGTTGTCTTGCAACAAGATACTCCAGATCAATACAAATGGAAGTTAAGTCAATCGCGGTCCTATAACAGTAAATCGGCATATGCTGCCTTCTTTGAGGGTTCTGTCAGAATTGGGCCTTGGAGGAGGATTTGGAAAAGCTGGGCTCCTCCGCGTTGCAAATTCTTCATTTGGTTAGTGTTTCACAACAAGTGTTGGACTGCTGATTGCCTGGCTAAGCGAGGTCTACCTCATCCAGAAGCTTGCCTCCTTTGTGACCAAGCTCCGGAGACAATCCACCACTTACTGGTTGGTTGTGTGTTCTCCTGCCAGGTTTGGGTGTTGATCTTCCAACGCCTGGGTCTGATACACCTAGCTCCTGAATCTCCCGAGACCCGTTTCTTTGGATGGTGGAGGAAAACATTCTTGGCTGTACCAAAAGAGATGCGTAAGGGCCTTAATTCTCTGATAATCCTGGTCGCTTGGGAGATTTGGAAACACAGGAATGATTGTGTGTTTGAAAAGGTCAGGCCGAACACTCAGGAGGTTCTTAGGGCTATAAACACTGAGGGCCGCCTATGGTGCATGGCTGGGGCTTCCAAGCTCCAAGAGCTAGTGCTCTCTGTTTGGTCACCTCTTCTCGATTCTGGCGCAGCCTGCATATAATGGCTGCTGAGGTGTTGGTGTGTGTTTTCTAACTAGGTAGGGGATACCCAAACCCGTTTTTTCTTCTACCTTAATGAAATGACGCGCAACTCTCCTGCGTAGTTCGAGAAAAAAAAGGTCTAAACAGCTTACTCGTAAACTTAAATGTAGAATTATAGAAGAAAATACTCCATCAGTCCTAAAATAAGTGTTCTCATTTCTCAAGAAGTCAAACTTTTTTAATTAAAGATCTGAGTATTGTAATAGATATACAAATTATAATTTTACAAAAGGGCATGTCACATAAAAAAATTACGTCTATTTCTTATAAAGGTTTATGTGTAATATTAAAATCTTTTAGACGCACACGCACGCTCATTCTTATAAATGCATGCATGCACACCTTAGCCTTATGAGCACTTGTGAGAGTGACGAGTTGGATCAGTAAGGGGCCATTTGTTTGCCTAGTCCAGATGGGCTATTGAGCCCAGTGGGTGCAGCCCAGGCTGTTTGTTTGCTTGGACCAGCCCACGAGCCAGGCCGGCACGCCCCTCAAAACACCCCTGGCCCTAGCCCTAGAGAAACGAAAAATTCTTTCGTACCCACCGGGCTCGGCTATAGTGGGCGCATCGTGTGCGAGCATCGACGTTATCATCATCTCCCTTTTCTTTACCGTGAAAGCCTCCCCGCTGCCGCCTCCAACCCCGTCATTGAGTGCACGCAGGCTCCAGCTCGGCGCGGCAACTTCCCCTCCCTCTCCGATGACTCTTGGCGACCTCTAACCACAAGCTGCCTCATTCTCATCCAGGAAAACAAACGTGGCTGGTTGCACCACCACAGGCTGGATCATAAGATGCAGGCTTACCAAACACAATAGAACTGATAACTTTGATTAATGTCAAATCTAGCAAGAGATCAAATGATCGATGTAACCTACCGAAGAACTCACCTAGAATTACGTTACTCCTACTCCTAGTGCGATGGCGTGAAGCTAGAAAAATAGATTGTGTATTGATCGAGAGATGAAAAATGTTACAGTAGCCGAGGTCTACATTTGTACCCTAGGCCGATACAGAGTCCTAGACAATACGACTAGACAATTCTTGAGTAAAAAGAAAATAATCTAATTTGAACTCCACGATTTCCTTTCTGGCAGAGTCCGATTCTGTTATGCCTGAGCCGATACCTCTGGCGTCGTGATTTCCATGATCCATTCCAAAATTTTGTTGTAAACAAAAAGAAAACAAGAAAACATCCTGAGTACGCCGAAACTTGTGTCACACCACCATTACGTATTTACCATGCTTCAAGTTTCAACGAATCATACTTGATTTAAAAATAATATATAGTATCATATTAGAATAGCATACCCATGGAATAAGCCACTTAGGATTTGGAATAGTGGCAATATGATAAATAAGTCGGTGCGCAAATTGAATTAGACGAGCTGAAAAAAAGGAAAGGCCTAATCGGCCTGCGAGCTGACTTTAACCTGCGTACGACGGCTTTAAATCCACCAATCACCGTAGTCAGTTTGCCTTCACAGGTCCAAGCAATTGCAGTTCTTAGTAGGTGGTCGTGGGTTGGGTGTGTAGGTCATACGTATACATAGAGCCATTCTCAATTATTTTGGGCTGCACACTAGAGAGGCCTCTGGAGCCAACTTGCGATATTTGTCAAGATGCTAATGAAAACCGACAAAGTAAATTTCCGATGCCTTCTAAGCCTGTACACAATGTCTCACCTGAACCCAACCCAAGTGTGTTCTCTATCTTGGAGATTTTTTTTAAAATAATATTTTTTAATGATTAATTGCAAATCTAGCATTTGGATTGTAAGAATTGTATATATAGTGTACTGTCGGCTTGTGGCTAGCAGATAGAGGCCCTATCGGCAACTGGTGGGCCGATAGGTCCCTGCCGGCAACTCGTGGGCCGACATGATCCCGTCGGCGACCCAGCAGCCGACTAGGTACCTGACCAATCTAGACAGGACAACCTAGTGGACCCATATTGGCCCGATAGACATGTCGACACCCGGTTAGCCGATAGGTCCCTGTCAGCCTTTGGATAAACGTCAGGCCCTAAAATATCTAACCGGTCATCTTCTCCCTCGTGCTCTCTCTCTCTCTCGCTCGCTCTTTCTCTCTCGCTCGGCATCGGTGCGCAGGTGCCTTAGGCTCGCCGCCGGCCGCCAGCGCGTGGAAAGCGTACGAGGCACGAGTGTCGATGGTCTCTACGTGTTGTCGGTTGGGCGAGCGACGCGTGCTGTCCGGGTGGTGTGGGCCCCCGCGTGGGCGCACCAGGTGTAGGTGCGGGAAGCAGCGCCGGATGTCAGGCCAGACATCCAGCCGTTAGCAATCCCCGAGAAGACACGATTAGCAACGTGGCCTTCAATTCCTGGCTGGTGCGCTGCCGATTTTTTTTGAAATAATATTATTTTAATAATTAATTGTAGATCTATAAGCTGTAATAATAAAATTGCAGATTGAGGTGTCAATCGATGAACTAGAAGCCGATAAGAGTCTAATCGGTGTTCCAGGAGCCAATACGATCCGATCGGCTTTTGGGATGCCGATAGGAGGACTCACATAGTACGGGCATCCATTGACGTGGGTGTTATCATTGCCGATAGAGTAATCGGCATTCCAAGGTCCGATATCTCCCAGCCACACACGGCCACATGGGATTAGTGGACAGATGTGTTTTTTCTTTATTTTTCTATGGTTAGTTATTTATTGATAGTTAGATAAAAAATAGTATATATTTTAGGCACATATTTAATACATATAAGTATCTTGTCTCTACTATTTTTTTACATGTTAGTATTATGCTTTGAATCTTCATCAACTTTGTTGTTCTTTGCAGCCGAGGTGGCAACAGCCACGGGTAGAGGCATGTACAATGCGTACATCGCTGCGTTGGACCAGCTCACAGCTGACAGGGTTCGGTGGACCCCATACACAGTAGTTGACATACAGTCCCATGCTCCACGTGGCTTGTCGGAGTTGTGCTACCGTGACTAGGAACTGTGGTGCATGAGGAAAAGACTGGTGTTCGACATCTTGGTCGAGCCATACTGTCCAGAGCGGGAGGCACGTTAGTTTGGGCATGCGCAGGTCTTCCCCCTTCCCCAACTTTAGCTTGATGGGTCCCACGGGTAAGCCTTGTTGCAATAAGCGTTCATCTAGATTCTGTCATAGTATTATTCAATTATTAATTCTATTGCAGACATTCAAGGAAAAGTCAAGGTGTAGCATTCGAGCAGTCGTGGGTGGATAGGATGGTGCCTTGGGTCAACGACAGGGCACAAGCTGCCACCGACGTGCATGACCTTAGTGGGCCATTCGACAAGGCCACGTACCGAGAGTACTTGTGTTGGTTCCATGGAGCCACATGCGTCCGTTGCTTCCCCGTGCCGGTTGAAGTCGTGCCACACAAGGCCGAGATCACCGACACGTTCACCATGGAGCCACCAGCTGCTTTCCATGCGCTGGTAAGCAAAATTCTTACATATGTTGTCGTATCCTTACTTTGCAAATGAAGCATAACAATACATGAGACAATACATGCCTTACTTGCAGACAGAGATATCTCTGAGTGACGTGGGCAATGAGCTGCTTTCATATGCCCAGCGGTTCGAGCACAACCCCCAATGGTTGGTAGGCTGGAGTTGGTTGCCGCCCTTCGACGAGTAGGGCAATGTTGCTTGGCGGGAGTACGCCGAGCATGATGCGGCCACACCACTGACGTAGTTGTTCACACCCACCAGGGTGTGCCTCCACCTCTGTAGGTTGAGATGGTGGACTAGAAGGGGGTGAATAGTCTTTTCTAAATTTAATCATGGTGGCTAACCGAAACAAATGCGGAATTAAAACAACCGGTCTAGCCAAGACAACACCCCTCTATCAAAGTTCACAAACACCTTATAAAGATCCTAATTTAGGCAACAAAGGTGCTGGGTTAGCTAGAGCTCAACTATCCAATTCTAGGAGCAAGGTCACACAAACCTATGCCACTAGTATTTTTCACACCGGGGAGCTCCTACACAATTCTAGTAAGCAAAAGCACAAAGCTCATAAGCTCACAAGCAATGCTCAATAACAAGACAACCAATGCCAAATTAGAGAGCACAAATACTCATCTACACAAACTAAGCAATGTGACTTATAGGGTTACACAAACCAAATTAGCCACACAAGGGAGCTACTTCTATGCACACAAGCAAGAAGGTAACTAGTGAGCTACATAAGCTAACTAATTACAAGAGCAACTACACAAGCACAATGTATATGAAAGTAATTACAAGCTTGTGTAAGGGGATTGCAAACCAACAGGAAGAACAATCTTGGCACGGTGACTTTTCTTTTGAGGTTCATGTGCTTGCCAACACGCTACGTCCCCGTTGAGACAAGCTCCAAGGTTGTCGCCGGTCCTCTTGATAGTGGTGACCCGCAGGTCACGCTCTCCCATGTGGAGTGCTTACCACAAGCTCTAGCACTTGACCTCGCTAGACCACCTATCACCCTTCACATCTCGCTCTACTAGAGTTGCTCTTTGCGGCTCCTACGGGGTGAGCACAATGCCCCTCACAAAGCTCCTCTTCGGTGCACCACACAAGCTTCTTGCGGGCTTCGACGGAGACCACCACTAAGCCATCTAGGAGGTGGCAACCTCCAAGAGTAACAAGCACCACTAGCTTGCAAGATGACCACCTAGTGCCACTCGATGCAACCTCACGATGCAATCGCACTAGAATCGCTCACTCACTCGATCAGATGAACACTATCAAGCTCAAGTGAGTTAGAGGGCTCCCAAGCACTACCACATAATCCACCAAGGCTCTAGTGTGCTCAGTTCTACTTAGCTCTCAGCCAAAGGCCGACCAACACTTCTATTTATAGCCACACGGGCTAAAATAGCCGTTACCCCTTCACTGGGTAAGAATCATAGCGACCAGAGGCGCCGATCGAATTGACTTGACGCACCCTGCCAGCATCCGGTCAATAGATGACTGCCATGTCATCGCTAGATTCAAATACTGAGCGCCCGATCTCAACAGTTAAGTTGTGACCGAACACACCGTGAGGATGACCGGACGCTGCTACGCCAGAGTCCGGTCATTTCCAGAGAGCTCCCCGAGCCTCTATTTTGAGACTAGATCAGCTCTGTGCCCGTGCGCCAACTGTAGCGTCACCTATGTCACCATACATCACACACGACCGGATGCAAGCCCTGCGCGTCCGATCACCTTTACCGTGCAGCGTCCGGTCACTTGACCGAGACCACACCCAACTGCTGTCAATGACTGAATGCGCTGGTCCTGCTGAGGCCAGCATTTGGTCACTCACAGTGACCTCCTTTCGCCTTCATTTCTTCACCAAGTTGATCCGTTTTAACTCCAACTCCTTCTCCTTTGCAAATGTGCCAACACCACCAAGTGTACACCACCATGTGTATGTGTGTTAGCTTTTCACAGACATTTTCCAAAGGATTAGCCACTCAACTTGCCATGCCACTCGATCCTCACGATGATGCAAAGTTAGATCACTCAAGTGGCACTAGATGACCGATATGCAAACAAGTTTGCCCCTCTTGATAGTACGGCCATCTATCCTAAATCCGGTCATCAACTTCTCTACACACCTATGACCGGTGAAATGAAATGCCCTTGGTTATACCTTTGCCTTGTGCATTCCATTTCATCTCCTCTAATGTTGATGCAACACATGCACCAACACGATCAACAATGATATGATCCACTTCATATCATCACGTGATCATATTGGTTCATCGATCTTGACTTCACATGCTTTTCACCATTGCCTTCGTCCATCAGCACCAAGTCTTACTCAAGCTTCACCGCCATGCGGTCCATCGCTCCAAAGCCTCCAACTTGCCCTTCATGCTTGCAACTGGTCCATCAATCCAAGTCATGTCTTGATCTTCTCCACCTTGATCACATGACTCAATGTCATGTCTCATTGCAATGAGCTCCTTCATCATCACATGTGTGAGCTTTGCAACATCTCCGAGCCATCTTCACCTCCATGGCATATGTTGCTCACACACATGTACCTGTGGATTAATCACCTATGTATCTCACATAAACATAATTAGTCCACCTAGGTTGTCACTCAATTATCAAAACCAAACAAGGACCTTTCAATCTCCCCTTTTTGGTACTTAATGACAATACTACAAAGATATGGAAATTAAGCTCTTATGGATTCATGTTGCTTGCCCAAGCAATTTTACCATGTGTAAATGATTTTGGACAAGTACCACAAACCCGAAATGGTAGTATTAGCTCCCCCTACATATGTGCTAGAGTGTTTGGTTTGAAGCTCACACATATGCATAGATTGGAATTGTGGGAGAGTAATTACTACCAAATGATGCTAAGGTGTATAGAATAAACCTTTAAAGTGTGATATCAATTGGAGTTGCACTTTTAACACCATCCTTAGCACCATGAGTAGCTAGACAACAAAATACTAGAATCCTCATGAGATCAATCATTATAATCAAGTTTCTAGTACCACGTGTAAAAATATAAGTCTAGCTACTATCCTATAGATGCTAGTTATCAAATCTTCATTCAAGTTCTACAACTAGCATACACCACACAAGCATGCATATAAATTTCAAAAATTTATGCAATGCAAGCAAGCACATGACTATGCACATTTCAAATGCAACTAATCAAAGTTCATGAGCTTGCTCCCCCAACTTGTGTGCTTTTCTTGTCCAAGAATTTTGATCCATCTCTTTTCTTCAATGTTGCTCCCTCTTTGTCCATGTCCATGTCCAACCTCTACTTCTTTTCTTCAATGTCTCCCAAAGCTTTCATATCTTTGTATAATCTCTCTCCCTTTATCATCAATTTCCATAAAAGGTGTGCGTCTCATTGATGCAAAGGTTTGCATTTGGGGTAGATGGTTAAGGCTTGAATCTTGCATTTTTGATGGACATCACTTGATTGTTGGAATGACACCACTTGTAGCCCTTGAGATACCACACATAGGATCTTTGACCTTGATACCAATTTGTGGGACACCTCCCCCTATGTCATAGCATGGGTCATCCATTTGATAAACTTGAGCTCTTGTAGGTGAGGGATGCATTCTTCATTTGATGATCACTTAAAGTTGAGGATCACTTGTGGAACCATCGTCTTGCATGATTGATACCACATGTAGATGTGATACCACTTGAAAGAATTTTCTAGCATGGAACCACTTGTTGGATTTATCAATAAAAACCATTTCTTGAACCTTTGTTATCTTCATGAGTACCACTTATAGGATATCATTTGTGAGTTGATCTAGACATCACTTGTGAATTCTTGATGAAATACTTGAGTCTAGATACCACTTGAAATAAACAAACTAGATATCCATTTGCATTGTTGTCTTGTGCTTGTACTCTTACCACTATCATGAGGTTCTATGGTTGACTTGAACTAAATTGATTGGCCTAAGCTTTCAAATCTGGTTTGAACCCTCTCTAAGCTTCTTCACACTCATTTGGAGGTTATCTTATCGAGGTTGTACTTGTCACTTGTTGGCAATCCAAATTAAATCAAGTACTTGGGTTCACTAGCTCATGAACAAATTCATATACTAACCACTAGATCAACTAATCATTTATCATGCAATAGTGGTAGGCTATGAATTTAAACATTTCATTTGTTATGCATGATCCTATGAAGCATGTATTATATGCACTAATCGCATACTAGTAAGGGATGAAATGATCATGCACATTACAATGATACCTTTGCTATGTTGGAGTAGAGGATAGTCACATAGATTCCAATTTAGTACTCCAGTAGCAATGTAAAGTCCAATTATAAGCTTGGTGAAGACTAATCATGAATAATGAAATCCATTCTTTACCCACATGATTTGAGATCAAGTGTAGTATCTTGTTGTGGTTAGCTTGCTTCATCATTTGATCAATGCTTGCATGAGAGAACTATTTGGAATACCACTTGAATTGCCATGACTAGCTCTCTTTTGGGTGTTGCTTGCTTTTCTTGATCAACCCTTTTGATTGCTTTAACTAAGCATCTCAAATGTTTCTCGGATCACCACTTCCATGTTAGCCTTCCAAGTACCACACTTGGTTTACCTACACATTGGCGAGAAGCCCTACACTAGGGAGAAGTGACCTCTCTCCAAAGAACCATCCTTGATACTCATTTGAAATGAATTGATTGATTAATCCAAGTGATGGACTTAACTTGACGAATAACCTTGAATCCATCTTTAAGTCCTTTTCTTTCTAATTGTTTAAGTCATTTTCTTTCTTCCAAATGATCTCCAATCATCACTTAGAACTTAAACTTCATCTCCATCTTGAGTTTGATCTCGATCTTCCAATTTGAGTACCAAATATGTGCAAGGTACACTCCACAATCAAATGCCCTTGTACTCTTTGCTTGTCATGCTTCTAGACCATCTCAAAACCAAACTTAGGTGCCTTAATTACTTATAAATATGTTTCAACTTGAGGACCTTTCAATCAAAGTGACTCCAGATCAATCCAACATTTGTAACTTTTCTGGCAGATTTTTTACTCTTCAAAGAAAAATGCATATCTCCCAAAGTACAAATTAAAATACTATGAAATTTGGTGGAGATGTGATTCACTAAGTTATCTAGCAGCTGTAAAAATTTGAGCTTCATTTGAC